TTTTACCCAGCGAAGGGTATTCCTGTCCCAGGCTTACATCCCTGCTCCCAGGGCTGTTTGTCAGTCAGCCAAACCAGAAATCCCAGGGAAGCGGAGCTATAAATCCAACCCTGAAGTCTGATGCTGCAGATGCAGCTGGCCCACCCTCACAGACAAAACAAGCAAATCGCCACTCTCTCCATTTCTTACCTGCTCATCTGCAAGCTGGAAATTTTCGTAGATTGCATAACGTCTTTCCCCATGCCAGTCCATCAGGTCAATCTTTAATGAGCTCTCTCCTAAACACCAAGTGGTGTCCTGTTAGATAAACTATTGTATCATGCAAATTGGAAAGAAATCTGTGGAGGGAAAATACTTGCACCTCTAGTGAGCAGGTCATAGATGTGGTCGTTGCCCAGCCAGTATTCATCATTCTTGCCCTGGAATTTCCCAAATCCCAGTTTGTAATCATCCCATTTCCTGCAGTGAGATACAAGTATCAGTTTCACCATGTGAGGGGATTAGACAGTTTGTGACACTTGGCTATGACAACAAGTAAAACTTCATCCGTATCTCTAGGCACTGTTTTCTAAAAGTATATGATTCATTGCAAGCTGAGCTGAGATTTGTCACTCTGCCTTAGAAGTAGGTACAACTCACAGCTTACTTCTCCTGCTAAACCTGTGCACACACATAGGTTGGGATCAAACCTTCAAACTGTCAGATGCAGTGCTCGCAGAATGAGGTTGTCAGTTAGATGGGAAGGGAAAGCAGCAGCTGTCATAATGGTCTTCAAACAAAGCATCTGATATTGTTCTTCAGCAAGTCATAATTCAAATGCACTCCGGGCTGGAAATGAATGTTGCAGTCTAAAATATGCTGCAATCTTGGATGTGTGATGTGGTATGGTGAAAAATCAGAAACTGAATTGAAGTTGCAAACAAAAGCTTCCAGATGAAGTTAAAAGGAAAATAACTGGGTTGGCTTTGTGCTCCTGTTCCATTTAAATCTGTTTTTGATTCATTGACCACTCTCACCTCTGCTGTTTTGCAGAATCACTGCTTGGATGTGGCAACTTGTCCTTCAAAGATATATACTTACTTTTCATCAGCATTCTCTGGCTTCATCTTTCTAAGATAAATCTCCTGCTATTACTTACTTCTCATCATTTCATTCTCTTAAAATGTCCTCTGTTATTTATGTATTACCTTTGATATTCCCATATACTTCCTGTGTATCATCATTTCCAGTTTTACTAACCCCATGTTTATTCCCTCTCTCGTGTTGTTATTAGGGATATTAATTCTGCCTGACCTACATACTAGTCAATGCTCCTCTTCAGGACGTTTTTCATTCACCTGTGTTGAGAACTGAACTACCACTTTCTGGGCAAGCCAGCTTAGAGCCAGTTGAGGTAGCTTTCCAATGGACTGCACTCGCTGTAAGAGACACTAGACATGCTCTGAAATTATGTGTGCTGTGATGATAGTGAATTAATCTTCATGAGAACATTTCTTCTTTACTGTGCTACGAAGGCATCTCTCCTCCTGGAGTTTTCCAGGTGAAAGTCACCTCTCTGGAATTTTACATAGAGAAAGGACAATCTGGACCAGTGGTTTGGCATCTTTTTGAATGATCTGAGTAAGGAAATAAATGTTAGACCGCGCTGAACGTAATTCCTGACATGAGAACAGATAATATGTTCAACAGGTCTCAGTCTATGCGCTGGCCACAGATACCTGCCAATGTGGAGCCTTCGACAACCTCCAATAATGATGAAACAAATATGCACCCATGTACACATTTACTCAAACACAGAGAAGCCATGGAGAAGGTGTTATAGGTCTGTTTTGAGAATGGCTTCCTGCTACCAATATGTACCACCAGATTGCCCTAATGCAAAGAGTTATCATCACTGAAGTATAGTCTTGCATACCCTGCTCCCCGAATGTAGGGTTTTGCCAGGCGGCAGGACGGGGACTTCAAGCCCTGTTGATGCAACCACAACGCACCCACCTGTTGAAATTCTCCTTGCCGTTACTCCGCCGCTGAATGACGGTCCACCCCCCACCATCAGACATGTCACAGTATGCCAGGAAAGGCTCTCGGTCTGCTCTGGGCCTGATCCGGTAGTAGCCATTTTTGGTCTTTTTCCGATTATACACTGCAGAGCAATCTAGGCAGAAAGGTTATCGGTTTGTTAAATGGGGCGAGGGGGAAAGCAAAGGGGTATGTGCAGCCAAGCGAAGACACTGCTGAGAGGCTGTATGGGACAAGGACACTTGGCTGGCTTGTGTATAGCTCTGCAAGCCCTGCAAAGCCAAATCCCGTGGTTCAGTAAGGTAGCAGCAATGCTGGTTTGCAAACTGCTGGGCCTGACGAGGAGCAGCAAGGCTTGAGAGCCTTTACAGCCATGCCCTCTGAGGGAGTCCTTCCCAAACCTTTGGTGAGATACAGGATGGCCGCAGCTCAGGCTGGGGCTATAGCATGGGAGCGACGCAGGACCGGGACTGGCTCTGTCAGCAAGATCATTTGCAGGGAAGCTAATTTCCATGTGGAAGGTAACCTCAGCTGTACTTTAGATTGGATTGGGGCCCAAAATTTCTAAAATAGGAGGCTAAGCTCCTGTGACCAGATCTACCAGGGCTGTGTCAGAAGAGGGCCTTTCAGGACCTCAGTGCTTCACAATTGCAATGTAACACCCATGAAGGATAAAAGCTTGCCCACAGGCCATGATTCCAGTTATGACCGTGTTCTCCCAGTGACACCAAGGAACGGAGTATGTACGCCTGCTGCTGCACCACAGAAGAGGTGGAGGAGTGAGGAACAGGGAGGCTGGTGTCCTCCAAATAGGTTTCAGTGCCCGCAGCTGAGCCGGACACTCTGGGTCCCGTAAGTCACTCAGGGGAAATGGGCTTTTCAAGAGCAAGACCCATCTCTTCCTAAAGCATATGTCTAAAGTAGGTGTGATGGAAAACATCTGAGAGGTCCCTGTTCCTCTCTGCACCAGAGTCCCAGGTGAGAAGCCCAGCTGCAAGTGTCTGCGTTGTACCTGGGCGGTAGCTGCCTCAAGCTGGGCTGGCTGACTCTGGCCCCAGGGGATGTCTGCTGGTGCCAGGGCCACCAGTCTGCCCTTCTCCTTCCCATGTATCTGACTGCATTTTAAAACACAATCCACTTTAAAAATTCTAAAACTTTTGGCAGAAATATAATATGACACATGGGACACTGCAGGGAGAAATAAACATTGTGGCAGGCTGAAATTTCCATGCACACTACTGCAAAATGTACCTTCGTCATAGACTATCAAATTTCCACTGGTTGTGGGTAAAAGCATCTCATGCTGCACGCTCCTGTTGCCTGAGAACAGCCCACTTTTTGTTCTATGGTAAGTGTTCTCCAGGATGTCCTTCAGTTGCAGTTCATATAAATAAAGCAAGTCTTGAAGCTGTTTTAACCTTTGTCTTAATTTATTGTTGTCTAGGAGGCAGATATCTTTTTCCTGTGGAGAAAATAAAACAAAAATCCCCATGCTTCAGTCAGTGGTAAGAACAGAGAGGCAGAGAGAGAAGGAGTATCTGTCTCCTCTTGACCCTAACATGTCACACTGCCTCTGTGGACCAAGATGATTTGACGATGCTCTCTTCCTAAGATATACGAATCTTGCACAGCATGAACCCGGTGGAAAAGGGTTTTCTACAATGACCTTGCCACTGCTCAGAACATCCCAGAATATGATCAGATACGCAGAAAATTACTTTGGACAAAGACCATTTGTCTCGACTCCCATTTAATGAACACAAAGGGAATGGTTGCAGACTATGAAACTACTCAGGGTAATAAGAGGGAGAAAACTCAGCTCTTGCACTGCAGCCAGGCCAAACCAGCGAGGTTCCAGAAGTGTCTTCTTATAAAACGGTAAGACAAAAGAGCTGATATTTGCTGCAAATCAGCTAAAAGCAGTGAGCCTACAGCGGTATAGCTTCAGACCTGCATTACTCTAACCAAGACCAGAATCTGACCCACACTCACTGGGATAAACATTTTCAGCAACAATCCAGTCTGTGGCTGGTGTTACTTCATTAAAAACATAACAAAACAGAGCAAAATCTCTTCCAAGACAATGAAGCAAACCCCTGCAATAAGAATCATTGGCTATTTTCACTCTGATCAAGCTGGCTTGAGTGATACCAGGTCAGGACCAGTTCTATGCATAAGCAAAACAAGCAGTTGCCCGTGACAGCAGACTGCCGACTGTGCTCAAACGAGGTCCCAAGCTGCCTCTTCCTTCTCCTAGGCCTGGTAGTTTCCCTCCACAGAGGAGGATTTCCAGGCTGGAAGCACAGAGGAACCTGGTGCAGACAGCCTCGAGCTCGCCAAACTCTTCTTGCCAAGTTCTGTACCTCATTGGGATGGGCCCAAGAGAAGTTTGCTCATTGGAAGAGTACAGATTGCCTCAGACTATGGCTACCTCCTCTTCCCCTTCCTGCTTTTTTAAATTGCGATGAATAAATGAAGGCAGTTTTCCCTGAGGGAATGAAATATTCCTTCACTGGCCATAAAATTACTTTTTTTTTTTTTTAAAGAGATTTTGTTGTTGTTGTTGCTGGTTTTAATTCTTGGCAACATCAGTCCAGCCACCCAGAAAGCTGCAGAGCCTCTAATGCCATGAAAACCCTATATCATCAGGACAAGAAGAGTGACCTTCCTTTAGCTGCAGGCAGATGCCTTTTTGCTCTGCTCTTGCAGGTCTCCATCCCTCTTCTGGGGGAACACCTATCTCTACATGACTAGGAATGATAAACCATTGAGAGGTTGTACAGACACTAGCTAAAAAATACGCACCGAGAGCCTGGGTGCAGGTGAGCCAAAGCTGACCAGGAGAAGGAACAGCAGCAACCAGGGCATCAGCACGCTCATTTTGTATCACCTGAAAATAAGCATTGACAGGCTGCACTGGAGGTTTCTTTAGTTCCTCTCACAACTTAATCCCCCTTCATAATCATGTTAAATTCCCCAGAAAATGCTGCAGGATTTGTTAAAGTTGTTTGAAACTACAGGCAGGACAAAATCGGGGAAAAGATGCACGGTAGGGAGAAGCTGAAGCACCAGTGCAGCATGCTGACAGAGGGATCGAGGCTTACGTCCAAGCTCCAGCTTCCCTGGAGAAATAAATACCTGCTGTGACTTTTCAGCAGCCTCTGCCCTTTCTCCTGAGCGCCCATGCAGATGGGAAGTTCCTCAGCAATAACACCTCCTTGGAGCACTCCTCACCAAACTGGTTGGCCAAAATCACACAGTCCTTCCTTATTCAGTCCAAACTCCCGTAAGTTAAGAGGAATTTTGCCTCCTGGTTGAGTGACCATAGGCATTGCCCCTCCTCGGGCCATGGAGTGGTCTGTCAGGGTGGGATTACCTTGGAGGCCGAGGGCAGAAATCACACGTGGGACAGAGCGGGCATGGGATAATTTTTGCTTGGATTTCAGTGGAAATGATCTCTGCTGCCGATCTGCCCCAGTGCACAGATGGGGCTTCTGTCGGAGAGTCTCAGCTAGAAAAAAAGCTACGCGACTGCCACTGGGAACATGCAGCTGAACCCGAGTGAACAGTACAAATTGTTCGCAGTGTGTTTGCGTGGTGCTTTAAAAAAAAAAAAAAAAGAAAAAAAAAACAACAGAAAGAATTTAAAAAATCTGAAAAATAGGCTAAAACCGACTCCCCCGCTTCACATCTGGAAGTGCTGCAGAAACTTGGCTACCCAGCTCTACGCTCTGAGCGACGTGCTTTGTTTCAGCTACAGCTCTATTAGCATCCCCGCAGCGGCTGACACTAGAGCTGCTTCCAGAGCCGGCAAAGCCGCTGTGACAGCGGAGCCTTCTGCCATGCCGGGCAGGCAGGGCCCAAAGCAAGCTGAGAGAAGAAGTGCCCCGTGGAAGTCACCCGTAAAAGATGTCGTGCAGATGGGTGCCCCAGCACGCGGTGCTTTTCCAGCTCATAGAGAGAAGAGTTCAGTGTTACAGCAGGGGATCCCCCAGCCTGTGACCGCTGGGGCTGTTCATTCACACCCCCCTGCAGCCGTGCCGGTGGCTGCAGCACCGGTGCTGAGGTCAGAATCAGGCCCCATGCGATGCGTGTGGGTGGAGACAAAAAGCTAACATGAAGGATGGGTTTGAGCGACAGCTCCCAAAAACCAGACAGTGCAGACCAAAGGGAAAGCAAGCAACTTCATCTACGCCTTTATCAACACATTATGAAATGCACATACCTGTAACTCACCTTTCTTTCAGATCTCCTCCTGATAAGATTATCTCCCTTAAAAGTCAACTGCAAAAGAAAGCGATCATAAACCTGGCTGCCTTTCTAGAGGTTGATGAGATTTTCCTCTCCAGATGGCCCACATCAAGGGCGCAGACGAAGAATGTTTCACTGCACTAGGCAGTTCCACAGAAAAGACACTCGCAATTCCTCGTGTGAAGGAGTTACTCAAACCCCGGGTTATCTGTTGTTACCCAATACTCATCCTGCTGCTTCCCTCTGAGGATAAACAACAGTTAGGTTTCTATCAGCAGTGCTCTCCAAAGGAGAGGGGCTCTGCTGGTTGTGAACCATTACCCACCTTATTTGATTTGGAAGCTCAACCAAGACTGACTTCTGTAAGTGTTTATATGAATCACTCAGACTGATGCTCCCTATGGGAGTTTTATCTCATGTTTAATACAGCCAGGCTCATTGCAGTAAGTGCTGCAAGGTGGAAATAACACAGCTTTTCCGTTCAGCATTCCTTTTGCTGTTTAATCTGGTCTGTATGTAAAAGCACAGCACAGCTGTAACGCCAAAGGAGCTGCAAATCTGAAGCAAGAAGCGAACACGGGGGTATTAAGCAAGATTTGCTATTCGACTGAAATCTCAGGAGGTTTGCAGTTGTGTAACTCTCCTCTGAGCTGGATGATTAGATTTTCTAGTTAACACAAATAAGGACATTTATGGAAGAGAAAAAAAAAAACAAAAACAAACAAACAAACAGATGGGTGCCTCCCTCTGTGTTGTGGCCAAGGAATTACAGATTATTTTAAAGAAAACAGCAGAATTGTTCCATTTTAGAGAGCCATGTTCAGAGGACAGATCGTGGGAACAAAAGACAAGGCATATAAGCCCATAGTAAACTTCAGTGTTCCTCTCCAGGTAAGCAGGACTGTCCAGCTATTACCAAGTACAGCGATGCTGTTTATTTCTTAAAAACTGCATTCCTCTTCTCCCGCAAGAACCCTGACCCATTTCACTGCCAAAGGATTATGTAAACAGTGCTTTTCTTCTCGCTTGTCATCTACCCCCAGTTTTAGGCTGGGTTTGGCAGCTGTGAAATTAAATGAGAGAAACGCCTCCTCTTCTCCTTAGTAGGTACTCGGCCCTTTCTTCTGCCCCTTCGGCCAGCGGCTGCAGCTGATAGCAGGGTGCTTGGGTACCACATGCCTGAGCATAGCGGGGCTGCAAGCTGTCCCCTGGGGCTTTCATCCACAGAAACATCTCTATCTCAGCTGGAGTCAGCCGGACAACACTTGAGATGCTGTGCACCAATTTATGCTCTTGCCTAGATAGCCAACATCCTGCTTGGCTCGTGAGCATCTCCTGGTCCCAGGTGGGACTGGCGACGGGCCTGGGTCTGTGGTGGCAGCATTGGAGTCATGGTGTGGGCAGGATGGTCAGCCCCCACGGCTGTCTGCAAGGCTGTATGGCCAGGGAGCGTCGGGCCCCACATCTCCAAGTCCTGCAGGTCCCTGGGTAGGAGAGAGTGGTGGAGCTGCAGTCCCGGTGGACTGTTACGTGACTGCAACTTTGCAGGAGCAGGACTCAAAATCCAACCCTCCATCAGGGACCCCTCAAACGCCTCTCAGAGCCAAGACATCTGGAGCACTCTGATGCTCTCTTTAGGACTCCACCAGTCTTAGCCTCACCAACATCTGCATGTGAAAAACCCAGTCAACTAGAACAAGTCTTTTGCCTACCTGCTTCACGATGAACTTATTTTCCCAGGCTAAATGAAGCTTTAGGAATATCTGAAGCACAAGAGAGGGGTTGCCATGAGGTTGAGTTCACGTGAGGTGGGTCTAGCAGGAGGGTGTGTTCATGTAGTGCTCCACTGGCCTGGAGCTAAAATAATCAAGTCATCGTAAAGAATGTGGACGCTGTGTGATCACTGGTGTTGTTTCCTTACAGATGTTGAAATCCCTAGGCAACACGACTGTAAATGCTTGTCTTTTTTTTTCCTGGAATACACATGCTTCACACACATTCTGCAGTGCAAATTCCTGTTTAGTTACTTGGAAGGAGATCAAATTCCCTCTTCTTAAGATACTCAGTGATCTTGTCAACAAATAATAACAGTTTCATTAACTAAAAACCTCCCCACCCCGCTCCCCTCCACCCTCTTTCCAGCAAAAGTACGTAGGTGCTGAATAACAGTCATAAAAAACTATTATTCACACATTAAATGCCCAGCCAGAACAGGAAGAATGCAAAATGGTGGATAAACGTGAACGAAGAGGGTGGCTCTGGGGCAGCTCTTGGTATCTCTACAGTCATGGAACACTGGGGTCCCCCAGAAAGAATGGCTTGGGATGAAGACATGAAGATGACACACCATGGACATTCACCCCCCCAGAGCCCAGTGGAACATCACTGCAGCTGGAAGACAGTGGTGGCATCTCAAAACTCTTCCAAGACCAGGTCCTCATTGTTTGTTTGTTCTTAAAGGGAAAAGGGAAGAAATGAGGCGGACTGCTTCAGACTCCAAAGGAGGTACAGAGACCTGAGGTTTTCACAGCAAGAGTCTGACTGTCTACCTGTGCCCTAGGAAAATTCAAAGCAATCTGGAGCCAGTGCTGAGCAAAACAGCTCATTTGCACTGAATCCAGGTGCTTTCTGCATTTGCCTTTTATTTTATACTTCTCTATCACATCGCACCTTCTGTGAATGTCCTGCTCACTGGGAGAGACCGCGGACCGGGCTCCTTTGCAGGCACTGCCGCTGTGGAGGCACCAGGCGCCTGTAGGCTCTCTATGTGTGAGCTGCTATACATCTTCTGTAGGAATCCAGGCTGCCAGGTTTTTTAAAACAAAGTTAATGTATGAGATCTAAAACAAATATTTTCTTTTGTTTAAATCTAATAATAAAGAGTTTAATCAAAAGTAAGATAAATTTAAAAGATCGAGATGACATCAACCACCATAGTTTCAATCTACGAAATAACCGAAACCGGCAGATGCACATTAAAAGTCTGTGGTTTGTTAGCAAGGAGTAACCACAGAAAACTGCGTAGAAAGAAGGAGTAATGGTGGCGGACCATGAAACATGCTAGATCTGAATGTTTTGATAACGTTCAAAGGGCAAAGACATAATTCAGTCTAACTAATGAGTCTGCATGCAGCCTATGAGTATCTAATAGGTTGACACAACAAACATAATTAGTTTATAAGTTCCTGAGGGCAAGCACAGGTCCAAGCAATCTCACTTCCATCAGGAATACTGTACCAAAGGGAATTAGTCACAAGGCCAGAGGGAGTATGTGGATTATCTGCGTGATCTTCTGCCTACCTCAGGTCAGAGAACTCCCCTGACCTAATTCACTCCCGTTTGAATGGGACCATCTCTTTGAGAAAAAGACATTTTTGTGTAAAACATTCAGTGCTGAAGAACCAGCCACAAACCTTAGCATTCTCTTCCACTGCTTAATTACCTGCATTGTTAATTATTATTGGTTCTTGCCTGAGTCTGAATCTGCCAAGTCTCATCCTGCAGCCTTTTAATCTCATGATGCTTTACTGTGCGAGGGGAAAGAGCCCTCTGCTGCCAAATGTCTTTTTCCCTGCTTAAGGCTAGGTCCAAGTACATACAAGCTGTGTACCTGCCTCTGCCTGGGAACC